GCTACAAAGGGGACATTTCCACCCCCCAATTCAGCTTCTTGCAAAAATCTGTGGTACCCGGGGGGGGCTGGAGAGGCCACCCCAGGCCTGGCCGGGCCATGGGGACCAGGAGCCGCAGCACAGGGGGAGGAAACTGCGATTCCAGGCGGTGACTTTCCCCAAGACTGGGGCCACAGCGGCGCTGTGTGGGACAGTTGGGCACCCAGGCGTGGTGGCAGGGCAGCCTGGGGCAATGTCTGGGCACCCTGGGTGATACCTGAGTACCCTGGAGCAACATCTGGACACTCTGAAGCAACATCTGGGCATCCTGGGTGCTCTCTGTGTATCCTGGAGCAACACCTGCACATGCAGGGCAGCATCAGGGCACCCATGGCAACATCTGGACATCCTGAGTGATATCTGAGTATCCTGGGATAAAATCTGGGCACCCAGGCCAACATCTGGTCATCCTGCGTGATCTCTGGTTATCATGGAGCAACATCTGTGCACACAGGGCAGCACATGGGCACCCTAGGGTGATATCTGTGTATCCTGATGGAACATCTGGGCACCCTGGGGTGACATCTGGGCATCCTGGGTGATCTCCAGTTATCCTGGAACAACATCTGGACACCTATAGCAACATCTGGGCATCCTGGGTGATATCAGAATATCCTGAGGCAACAACTGGACACCCTGAGCAACATCTGGGCACCCTAGGGTGGTATCTAGGCACTGCAGTTCAAGACCTGGGTGAGCCACCCAACATCTGGCCAGCTGGCATCACATCTGGACAGCCCCTTGTCTGTGTTTGGGGGGGGCAGGTACAGCCATCCCCAAATCCTTTGGGGACATGGGGACACAGGGACTTTTCACCAGGGACAGTCCAGACCAGAGTAATGCTCCCTCCTGTTTGGGTCAAGGCTTTTACCACTCCAGGAGCTGCAAAATATTTTATTTATGCAAAATTTAGCTTTCTTTGCCAAAAGTCTTTAGGGAAAGCAGCTGCAGCCACCCCAAAAATGCACTTGCAACCCCATAACTGGGCTCTGCTCTGAGTCTCCTTCCTCCCACGGGAGTTGCATTGCCAGGAATTCAGCAACGGATGCACTGACCTGGTGGAACAACCGGGATAAACACCTCTCGCTGCAAAATCCACAGCAAAAATAAATCCCAGTTGCAATTCCCCCTCTCCCGCGGCGTTGCTATTTTCTACCGCCCGCGAGCGATTTGGAAGGAGCCCCATGGAAAGCAGCAACTCGCATTCCCGGCCGCTTATAGCACAGCACGTGTCCCCGTGAATCACCGCTCGGGATTCGGGGTTGGTTTTTGCAGTGAGTCAGAGCCAGCGAGGCCCCGTGCACCGGCTGGAGCAGAAATCCTGAGTCAGAGCTTGGGAATGGCAGGAGGTTTAAAAAGATTTGCTGGTTTGTTTTGGTTGGGTTTTTTTTTTTTTTTTTTGGTTTGGTTTGGTTTGGGTTTTTGTTTTATGGTTTATGGGTTTTGTTTGTTTTTTGTTTTGATTTATTTGGGGTTTTTTGTTTTGTTTTGTTTTGTTTGTTTGTTTTTCTGGATCTTGAATTTATAGAGGAAGTGTTTCCCCAGGGGATGTGGGATAGGAATTAGGGTGTTTAGGGTGGGGATGTCCCCCCACTTGGATTTGGGATTTGGAGGTGGGATTAAGGGAAATTCCCCAAACTATAGGAAAACAGGAGTTTTTGGTGTGATGATGAAGCATGGCACGGGGCTGCTGGAATCTGCTTTGCATCCTCCTCCCAGCACCCAGCCCTGGGCGAGGGCCGCATCCAGGTGGCCCCCAGGGAACCCCATAACACCCCACATCCCCAGGGCACCTTGTACCTCCAGGTCACCCATGTCCCTGTGTCACCTGTGTCCCTACAGCACCCTGCCCCCAAGGAAAGCCCTCGGAGCAGAGGGTGGAGGAGCTTCCCCTTGGGAGCTCAGGGACCCCAAATTCTGCCCCTTCCTTACTATCATAATTAATCAAGTTTGATAATAATGAACAGTAATCAATTGCTCTGCTAGACCCAGCTGTCCCCTGCCCCATGCAATGGGGCTGTGGCCCTGCCCAGTGCCCCAGTGACATTGTCCCAGTGCAGTGTCCCAGTTTCCCAGTTCACTGTCCCAGTGCAATGTCCCAGTTGCTCACTGCATTCCCCTGGGGCCCTTGGTACCTGGTCCCGGCACATTGTCCCCATACCTGGTGCATTGTCCTGCTGCCATGGTGTATGTCCCCAGTGCCCCCAGTGTGTGGCCCCAGTATCCTGGATGATTGCCCCAGTGCCCCAGCCCACAGCCCTGCAGCCCCACTGCATCACCCCACAGCACTGCCGCATCGCCTCGGGCACTGCCTGGCCACGTCATCCTGCTGCACAGCCCAGGTGAGACTGTGCAATGTCCCCGTGTGCCATCCCCGTGTGCCGTCCCCGTGTGCCATCCCCGTGTGACATCCCCGTGTTCCATCTCTGTGTGCCATCCCCGTGTGCCACCCATGTGTGCCGTCCCCGTGTGCCATCCCCATGTGCCATCCCTGTGTGCCTTCCCCGTGTGCCATCCCCGTGTGCCACCCATGTGTGCCGTCCCCATGTGCCATCCCCGTGTGCCGTCCCCGTGTGCCATCCCTGTGTGCCTTCCCTGTGTGCCATCCCCGTGTGCCACCCACGTGTGCCGTCCCCGTGTGCCACCCCTGTGAGCCATCCCCATGTGCCATCCCTGTGTGCCATCCCCATGTGCCATCCCCATGTGCCATCCCCATGTGCCACCCCTGTGAGCCATTCCCGTGTGCCATCCCCATGTGCCATCCCTGTGTGCCTTCCCCATGTGCCATCCCCGTGTGCCACCCATGTGTGCCGTCCCCGTGTGCCATCCCCATGTGCCACCCACGTGTGCCATCCCTGTGTGCCGTCCCCGTGTGCCATCCCCATGTGCCATCCCTGTGTGCCTTCCCCGTGTGCCATCCCCGTGTGCCACCCATGTGTGCCGTCCCCGTGTGCCATCCCCATGTGCCACCCACGTGTGCCATCCCTGTGTGCCGTCTCCGTGTGCCATCCCCGTGTGCCATCCCTGTGTGCCGTCCCCGTGTGCCATCCCCGTGTGCCATCCCTGTGTGCCGTCCCCATGTGCCATCCCTGTGTGCCGTCCCCGTGTGCCGTCCCCGTGTGCCATCCCTGTGTGCCGTCTCCGTGTGCCATCCCTGTGTGCCATCTCCATGTGCCATCCCTGTGTGCCATCCCCGTGTTCCATCTCTGTGTGCCATCCCCGTGTGTCATCTCCGTGTGCCATCCCCATGTTCCATCCCTGTGTGCCGTCTCCGTGTGCCATCCCTGTGTGCCATCTCCGTGTGCCGTCCCCGTGTGCCATCTCCGTGTGCCGTCCCCGTGTGCCGTCCCCGTGTGCCACCCCCGTATGCCGTCCCCATGTGCCATCTCTGTGTGCCATCCCCGTGTGCCATCTCCGTGTACCATCCCTGTGTGCCATCCCCCTGTGCCATCCCTGTGTATCACCCCGTGCCCCAGTGCAATATCCCAGAGCACTGGGGCACTGCCTCGGTGCTTTGCACCACAGCACTGTCCTCCTGGTGCACCTCTGCACTGTTCCGTGAGCTGTCCTGGTGCGCTGGGGCACTGTCCCATCACGCTGCCCAGTGCACAGCTTTGCTGTCCCAGTACACCAGGGCACTGTCTCACTGCACGGAGCCAGTGCCCTGGAGCACCATCGCTGTGCCCTGTCCTGGTGCACCAGAGCACTGCTTCTCCACACTGGCCCAGTGCACTGGCACGATGCCCTGGAGCACCATCCCAGTGCTCTATCCCAGCGCACTGGCGCACTGTGCTGGTGCATTGCCCCTGCTCCAGTGCACTGTCCCATTGCACTATCCCCGTGCCCTGTCCTGGTGCACCAGAGCACTGCTTCTCTGCTTTATCCCGGAGCACTGTCCTCATGCACAGGCTCCCACTCCCTGTCCCTGTCCCAGTCCCAGTCCCTGTCCCTGTCCCCATCCCAGTCCCAGTTCCCATCCCTGTCCTAGTCCCCGTCCCAGTCCCAGTCCCAGTCCCCGTCCCTGTCCCCATCCCATTCCCAGTCACAGTCCCAGACTCTGTCCCTATCTCAGTTCCAGTATCAGTCCCTTTCCCAATCCCTCTCCCAGTTCCTGTCCCCGTCCCAGTCCCTGTCCCCGTCCCAGTCCCAGTCCCAGTCCCAGTCCCAGTCCCAGTTCCTGTCCCTGTCCCAGTCCCATCCCTGTCCCTCTTCCCATCCCAGTCCCAGTCCCAGCCCCTGTCCCAGTTCCCACCCCTGTCCCTGTCCCCGTCCCTGTCCCTGTCCCAGTCCCCGTCCCCGTCCTTGTCCCTGTCCCCGTCCCAGTCCCTGTCCCTGTCCCTGTCCCCGTCCCTGTCCCTGTCCCCGTCCCAGTCCCAGTCCCCGTCCCCGTCCCTTGTCCCAGTCCCTGTCCCATCCCTGTCCTTCTTCCCATCCCTGTCCCAGTCCCATCCCTGTCCCTCTCCTCATCCCACTCCCTGTCCCCGTCCCCGTCCCGGTCCCCGTCCCAGTCCCAGTCCCAGTCCCAGTCCCAGTCCCAGTCCCAGTCCCAGTCCCAGTCCCAGTCCCTGTCCTTCTCCCCATCCCAGTCCCCATCCCAGTCCCCGTCCCGGTCCCCGTCCCCGTCCCTGTCCCAGTCCCAGTCCCAGTCCCAGTCCCAGTCCCAGTCCCAGTCCCAGTCCCAGTCCCAGTCCCAGTCCCCGCTGGCCGCAGTCCCTCAGTGTCCCGCCAGGGGGCGCCGCGGCGGGACCGGCCCTCGCGCCCCTGTGTCGCTGCACGCTCTCCTTCCCCCAGCAGGGGGCGCGCGCGCCTCGCCTCACCATTGGCTGCGGCGCGCCGGGAGCGGAGGGGCGGGAAAGGGGCAGCACGGCCCGTTTCGGAAGCGGAGCGCTGATTGGGCGCCGCGCGGAAGGGCCGATGGAAGGCGGGCGCTGATTGGCCCCCGCGCTCTCCCCTCACGGAGAGGGACACGCCGCGGGGCCGGTGTCCGTGTCGGGGCCGGCGCCATGGAGGAGGCGGGTTGCGGGGCGCAGTTTCGCGCCGCCGTTCGCGTTATCCAAGGGCTGCCCCGGAGCGGTGAGTAGGGGTCGGGAGCGGGGAGCTGCGGCCTCAGCCCTCCGGCCCCGCTCCCAGCTCCGCTGAGGCCGGTGTCGCGCCGCAGGTTCCTACCGGCCCTCCTATGAGGAGATGCTGCGTTTCTACAGCTACTACAAGCAGGCGACGGCGGGGTGCTGCCAGGGCCCCAGGCCCGGCTTCTGGGACCCCATCGGCCGATACAAGTGGTAAGGCCCCCGGGGGTGTTGGGGGGACGGCCCACTTCGGGTCGGGTTCACCAGCCTGCTCCCCACCTCACGGTCGCTGCCGCCCGCAGGGATGCCTGGCACAGCCTGGGCAGGATGTCCAAGGAGGAGGCGATGGCGGCTTATGTGGCTGAGATGAAGAAGGTGGCCCAAAAGGTAACGGGGAGGGGGGAGAGCAGCTGTGGTTGGGTGCTTGGTGGTGCCTGCCGCAAGCTGCGTCCCTCCCCAGATCATTGACACGGTGCCTATGGACGAGACAACGGAGGAGATGTTCGGGTACTTCGAGCCACTCTACGAGGTGATCCGTGACATGCCTCGGCCCCCCGAGGCCTTCTTCAAGAGGAAAGGGGGTGAGTGGGAGCCTCTGCACTCTGCTTGTGCCCAGTGCATCCCTCACCCCTGGGCCATACTCTTCACTCCTGGCACATCACTCCTGTTCTTTGCTTCTGCCCCATCACCTCTGGGCTCTGCTTTTCCCCAGGTCTGCTCCATGAGGGGGGGACAGGGTGGATGCCCCACGTCCCTTCTGACTCCCCTGCCATGGCATAGCTGCTGCCGAGGTGCTTGTTTGGGCACCACCAAACAAGTGTCTCTTAAAGTGACGCAGGTGTCTCTTAGGCCTGGGCTTTCTCTCTGCAAAACTTTGAGGCAGGAATTTGAGATTTGGCTTCCAAATGCCCCTTGGCCCAAATCCCTGTACAGGGTAGAGCAGAGGATCAGCTCCCGTGAGTGTTGCGGCAGGGAGGCTGTGCTTTCTCTTGGCGCTGGCCCACCAATGGGCAGGGCGGGCTGTGTACAGGGAGTGCGGGTCATCCGATGTAAATATCTGGATAGGCCAGCCAGTTTTTGCAGCAGAGTGGATGTGGAGAAACAGGGGTTGAGAAATGGGATTACTGGGACCATCTTGTGCTAGAGAAAAGTCCTTCCCAGGCCTTTCCATGCCTGTGGCTGCTGTCTCATGCTGGGAGGTGGCTGGGGACCTATCCTATCCCCAGAGCAGTGCAATCCTCAGTGTATCTGACTTGTGAGAAGCATCCGGGGGAGTGAGGGGCTGGATGTGGTGGTTCAGAAAGGTGTCAGCTACTGCGGAGCAAACCTGCCAGCTGCATGTCTGGAGGTTTGGCAGTGCCACATCTCCAGTCGATTAGCTCAGCAGCAGATGAGCTTTCAGGGTATATTCGCAGCGGGTGTGTAAACTGTCAGTGCTTTGCTAATGTTGGAACAGTGCTGACAAATAGACTCACTCCCTGTCTGTCCCCAGGCATCTGTCCTGTGTCTGACACCTACTGTCACCCCCTGCTTCCAACAAGGATGCCAAAAACACGTTGCCTGTAAGGCTTGGCCTCAGGATCACTGTTCCTTCCTATGGTACCCAGGGGCTTTAGTTCTCTAGATTCAGATTCAGACTCTCTTTAAAAGGCAAATCGACTTAATTTTTCTCTGGAATATAAAAGCTGGCTCTAAACTCCTGGTCATTTCCTGCTTGGGAGTGTCATCCTGCACTAGTGTCACTTATAAATGATACTGTCACTTAAATCTAAACCTGGTAGTGTCTGCAGAGCAAATGAGCCCGTGATGCCTGAAACAGTGGTTTAAAACTTCTTAAGCTGTTGAGTCATTTGTGTTAAAGGTTCTCGAACACACCTTCAGATTTTGAGCAGTTGCAGCTTTTGTTACCGATTATCCAGAGTAGCAGGGTGATTTTAGATGCTGTGGCAGGTGAGAGCAGAGTGTCACAAGCACAGAGCCCTCAGCAGTTGCAGAGCTTTTGTTGGACAGAGGTGCTGCGCAGGGGGAGTCTGGGCAGGTTTGGTTTTATTTCCAAAGTCAACACACTGTAAAGTGGCACCTGGAACCCAAACGGTGTAGGGTTCAGGGTCCCAATGGATCTCGTCAGCAAAGCTTTCACCAGCATCTTGTACATTCAGGCCAAGACTCTGAAGCAACTGAGAAACAATGATTAAGCCCTGAACGCAGAGGCCTGGTGCTGTTCTGCCAGCTCTGCTGGGGGGGGGGGGCTGGGGTTGGAGCCAGGATTGTCCTGGCTGGGTGATGTGTGAGGTGACAGGACCCTGCCTGCACCCACCCACCCCTGCGGGCCCCAGCCCACACACTGAGGAGAGATTTGGGAATGGTGATGGTCTCTGAGAGAGCAGCCCTGGTGATAACCCCTGTGTGGGGTGGGGGCTGCCCTCGTCCCCCTCAGAGGATTTGGTCCCCTGGGCCAGGCTCTGGGGGGGTCCCACAGCCGTGGGTCTGCTGGGATGGCGAAGGCAGGTTGGGAATGGCGGAGACATGCAGGCAAGGTACAGGCAGGGCAGCGTTGCCACATACCTGCCTGGCGAGGAGCAGGGAGCAAAGTCCTGGGGCGCTGGAAACACGGCTGAGCTTAACCCTGTGGGCTCCGTGGGGTGGTGGGGAGGGCTGGATCCCCAGGCAGGCAGCTGCCCTGGGCCCTCTCTGGGGTTCTGCTGCCTGCTGAGAACCCTCGCAGGCAATGGCGGCATGTGCTGCCTAGACAAGGCTCTCCCCAGCCGACACTTCTTGCGTTAGGCTCTGTTTGTTACCATGGGTGTGCCGTGTGCCCTGCCAGGGGACGAGGATGGTGGCTGTCACCCATCGGTGTTTACCCAGCCATTGGCCAGTGCTGATCCCTCTGCCTGCTGCCACAGGGGCTCAGGGTACAGGGGCTCCCCTGCCACCCCCAGGCAAGTGAAACAATCTGCATGGGGTTGAGCTCATGTTGATTCCTGGGCCATCGACAGACAGAGAAGACCCCTCTCCATCCCTGCCAGCCGCTGTGCATGTCCGGAGGCTGCCAGTCTGCCTGGCAGGAGGGTGGTCCTGTGTCCGTGTGTCCCCCACCATGCTGTCAGGGAAGCAGTGCAGAGCCCAGCCGTGTGCTACAAGGATAACCCCTGAACATTTTAATTCTCTGCCACTTCCCCTCCATGCAGGCAGTCAGGAGGAGACGGCCAACCCCAGCCAGGACGGCCCAGCAAGCAGCCTGGCTCCAGAACACGCTGAAGATGCCCTGCCCGGGGAGCAGCAGAACAGGCAGCATGTGTCAGGTTGGTCTCCCTGGTGTGGCCAGCACCCAGCAGAGACCGCACGGAGGAGGCACTGGCAAGGGGGCTGGGCCTCCATCTGCCTGCAGAGCTGTTGGCTTCGGGCGCCTCTGGCCCAGCCCAGCCGGTGTTTCGGGTGTTGCCTGAGTCACGGCGAGCTGGAGCTTTTCATAGGTGCAGCTCCTGGTGCCGTGCTTGACACCGGTGTAACCCTGGGTGTGTTGGTTTGACTCTTGTGTTGCTCTTACCTGTGCAAAGGGGCCTGATTCTGCTAAACCGCAGTGAGGAGGTGAGGGTGTTTCCCTGTGGACTGGGAAAACCCCACCCTGGAAGGTCCATATTCTGGGAAGGACACGTTCTCCCTCTGCTCAAGCCAAGCCCATCCCTTCCACGGCACTGGGAACCACAGTGGCAAGCCCCATCCCTCCCTGCCTGTGCCATGGCTGACGCCTTGGTCCTGACTTTTCTTGTACAGCCCCTTGCACACTCACCCACGCACTGCCCTGTGCCTCCCTCGAGGGCACGCGCGGCTCTCCTGGCCCTGAGCGGCCTCTCGCTGTGCCCTGAGTTGGGTAGGATGCTCCAGGGAGGTGTTCCTCCCACCGCCCTCCCAGTCCTCCCCCAAGGAGCATATATGGTCATGGAGCGAGCGCCTGTGTCCCGGCCGTGCCCGTCCTGGAGTGCATCCGGGCTGGCAGCGTGTGGGGAGCTGGGCAGCGTCCCTGCCTGTGTGGCGGGGTGTGCTGTCACCCCGGCGGCAGTTGGCGTGGTGTGGACAGTACCTGTTCCCTGCCAGAGCAGCTGGGGCCGTGGGTGCTGCTGGAGGGGTTCCCCACCATGCTGGGGTTTTGAGTGGCTGCCGCAGAAGCCCTCTCCCCAGGTGGGAGCTGCACGTGGGGAGAGAAATGCACCCTAAAATAGCACTGTTGGGGTGTGCCTGCCTGTAAGCAGGGCTCTGCCACACTGTAGGCAGGAGAAGGGGGAATTTGGTCCTTGGAGGGACGGCCACAGTCCGGGTGGTAGTAACAGAAACAGTTCCTTGCCCCTCTGTGCCTCAGTTTCCTTCTCCTCCTGCCTCGCTTTCTGCACATGGATGCTGCCTTCTTGCCTGCTTGCGGACCCGTTGCCTTGCGGCTGCGCTGAGCTGCTGCCCTCCAGACACGGCCGAAACGCCTCCCTGCCCCGCCGGCGCTGCCCACGGCTGAGCCCTGTGCTTCCCTTCCAGGAGGTGGGCTGGCTCCCACCGCCGAGGCGCTTGAGGGTAGCCAGGTGACCAGTGACTCCGAGGGGGACGTGTACTGCGATACCCTGGAGCAGATGGAGCCTGAGCAGGTAACAGAGGGCTGGGAAGCGCCGGGGTCCTGCCGCACCGCGGCAGAGGCTTTGCCTGCTGCCAGCCCTGCCTGCACTGTACAGGCAGATCTCTCCATACTCCCAGCTCGGCCCACCACTGCAGCACGGCCACACACTGCTGCTCAGCACCACCGTCCTGGGAGCCCAGGGAGACTCCCAAAACTTACAGGGCCACCCAGCTGCACCGCACTGTGCTTTCTGTCCCTCTTGCAGCTTGGTCCCCATCACCGTGGGGAGGCTGAGGAGCCCTTGGTGTGCCCCAGCACCACGCACAGCCCCCCTCATTCCTGTTGTGTGGCACTGGTGGGCTGAGTGAGGCCAGTAGCCCCAGGTGGGGCTGGTGCGGGCACCTTTCTTGCACCCCTGCTGCTTGCCCTCTGACCCTGCTACCGAGCAGCGCGGCTGCCACTGGCAGCGTTTGGCACTCGGGGTGCCATGGCACGGCTCAGTGGATCCAGTGGGCAGGAGGGAGGAAGCTGCCCACCTGCCTGGCTTCCCCCTGGAGCTTTTTTGCCAGCTCTAGCCTGGGCACCCCACTTCCCTCTGGGGTTGTAGAGCTCTGTCTCCCCCCTAAACTGGGCACTGAGTGGTGTTACTGGTGGGATTTGGCTTTGCTCCGCCTCACACACCCTCCACCACCAAAAATGCCACCATGGGACAGGGGGAGAGACACCACCGCTGCCCTGGCACTGCCAGCCATGCCCCCGCAGCCCCGGGGAGGGGAGCGGGGGGCTCAGGGCCCTTCTTCTCTCCCCTCGTGCAGGCTGGGCAGCCGCTGGGTCTCTCCCCGAACAGCGGCTGGGCCGGGCCCGAGCCCCCACAGCTCCGCGGCGCTGGGCAGGGAGAGCAGGGTGAAGGCAGAAGACTAGAGGGGAGGAGCAGCGCTGGCCTCACAGCCCTTGGCTCCGAGAGAGGTGGGTGCAGCGTTTGGCTCCTTCCCGCTGCTCCCTCCCCACCTCCCCGCAGCAGGGCTGGGCGCTGGGGGACTGCGAGGGCTGCGACCACCGACAGGGAACAGAGTTTGGCTCCAGCACCCAGGGGTGGGTCATTCAGCTGTGCAGAGTCCTGAGTGTCCCCTCTCTTTATGCCTTGGTCCCCACGCAGTTTGGTATCTTCACTGACCAGGGATCCCGGGCAGCCTGTGCCCAGCTCCTGCCCATGTCCCCGCTGCCAGGGGCTTTGCCCAGTGCCTTTGGATGTGGGCGAAGCTGGGCACTGTGTCCCTGGAGGTGCTGGTCCCGGGGACACCCTGCTCCTGTGCTACCGCTCACCTAACGCCACCCACCGCTGCTGCCGGCGTTTGGGGACAACCAAAGCTTTGTCACTGCAGAGGGAGAACAAGGAGCCTCCTGCCAACCCCTGCGGCTTTCCTGGGGGGGGCTTTCTGCTCTGGGGGGGGCATTGCCACCCTCACCCGGGGGATGGCAGGGGAGGCCCTGCCTGCCTCCCGCTCGCCTTACCTGACCGAAGTGAGGTGACCCCTGCGCATCCGTGGGCTGGAGCTCACCCACCGCCACCGCCGCTACTCTGCAGGGGAGGACATGGTGGTCTGTGTCCCCAGTGGCAGGGGGATGTGGGCAGCTGGGCTGGGCTCTGCCTGGGAGTGGCTGCAGTGTGGACACCCCGCGGGATCCATCGCTCGCCGTTGGGCGACAGCGCCCAGAGCGGGCCGTGCCAGGCCTGGGGGTCCCTGGGGAGCCCTGCCCCACGTGGACTGGCCTCTCAGCAGCCCCCGTCTTTGTGCCCCACAGACCAGCTTGCTGGGGGACAGCAGGACACGGGGAGCACCCCCAAGCTCGTGCTGGCAGAGCTGGACACGTGCCTGGCCCGCACCCTCCAAGCCTTGCAGGACGACATGCGGCGAGTGCTGGAGCGCCTGAGTGAGCTGGAGGCGCTCACCTCCGCGCAGGTACGCGCCGTGCTGCCCGGGCTTGGCTCGGCTCCCGGCAAACGGGCAGCCCCGGGTGCGGGACAGACCTTGAGGTTTGGGGACACATCCTGGCAGGGTGGAGGTTGTCCTGGTCTGCCCCAAAGTGCCCTCAGGATCCCTCCCAGGAGCCCTGAGCGCGGTCGCTTCTGCCCCCTCCCTCCCTCTCACGGGGACACAGGGGCTGGAAGGGGGTGCCCAGCCCTGCCAACACCCCAAACCCTCTCCTTGTCTTGCAGGGGGAATCAGCTGGGACTGATCCTGACCAGCCGCTTGCTCTGCAGGTGAGGCGGAGGCAGAGGTGGCACTGCATGGTGGCCCTGTCACCCCACGCTGCCCATCCTGGGGGGTGTGGGGGGGGGCCAGTTGGGGAAGGGTCCCTCAGCTGAGGAGCAGGTGACATTCCTGGGGACACGGCCCCAGCGTCCGGGTACCAGGGACGATGGTATTGGTGCAAGCTCTCGCCAGGATGATGGATGTGACAAGGACTGCCAGGCTGTGGCAGCAGCCTGCCACCGCCTGCCTTTCAGCAGGGGGCTGGGGGGGGGGGGGGGGGTGTTGTTTGCTCAAACTGGCGACACCTCTGTCCCCTCACCAGGCACCATCCCCGTGGCCCCTGACCGTCTCCCCGCACACCCTCCTCTTCCTCCTCACCTGGCCTTTCATCACCCAGTGGCTGCTGCGCCGCTGGCAGGGCAGGAAGAGGTGACCGCTGCATCCCCACGGCCACCGCCGGCCCCATGGGGCTGCCACCACCACCCTTCCTTCCCCGTCCTGCTCTGCACAAGCCGGGGAAGCGCTGCACGGGATTGGGATCGACGGAATCGCCTCACCCAGCCACGGGGGCTCCTGCGGGCCGGGACCCCCAGCCCCGAGGGAGGGACAGCCACTGCGCACCGCTGACCGCCACTGTTACTCTCAGGGGCTTGCCAGCACCGCCGGGACGGCGAAGGGACTGCCCGGCCGTGGGGAACAAGGCGCGGGATCGCCCCCCTCGCCCCCCACCGTGGTCCCAGGGAATCCCCCTCGCAGCCACGCACAGAGCCACCCGCTGCCCGCCAGCACCACGGGTGGCAGGGGACAGCCGCCACCCCCGGCCCCAGGGACCGGGTTCCGTCAAGTGCTTGAACGTCTGAACCTGGCGGAATTAAAGTTGCCTTTTCAGTCCAGCCCCCGTTGCTGCCCTGTCACCGGGAGGGGACAGCCGGGCATCACCAGGGCCACCCTGCTGCGGCCTGTGGCTGCCGAGTCCCTGCTGCGCGAACGGGGGGGGGGGGGGGCACACACTGTCCCGGCCCCCCCCAACCTCTCCTGGCAGGCCGGTCCCTGTCCCCATCCTCAGGGTCCCACCTCCACTCGGGGATCCCGCAGGCCGAGGCCTCCGGAGCCGACCCCCCCCCCCGCCCACCTTTGGGTCACCCGGCTGTGGTGGCCGTCACCGCGGCTTCCTGGGGGCGGGGGGGGCTTTTGGGGACCCCCCCGGGCTCCCCTTGCCGCCGGTGCCCAGCCGATGGGGGGGGGGGGGGCTGGGCAGGGCTTCTCCCCCCCCCCGTGTTGCTGCTACCATGGGTGGGTGACACAGCCTCCCCCCGGGGCCACCCCCCAGCTCGTCTGTCCCTCGTGGGCCACCCCCCCCCAGCCACGTTCCCCCAGGGCCACCCCCCGCCATAGCTGCCCCATCGCCCTGCCCCGCCCCTGCCGTGGGGCCCCGAGGACCGGGGGGGGGACACACACACACACCCCCCCGCCGCGGTGGGGGTGGCGGCACCGGGACCAGGGCCAGGACTCGGGCCGCCCTGTCCCTCCCCCCGGGAGTCCGGGAGCGCAGCTCCGCACCCCCTTTGTAAAAAAGGGACGCGGTGCCTTTAAGGAGGGACTTGTTTCCTCTCAGGTTTGTTTACATTTCCCTCCGCGCGGCTGCGGCCGGCGCAGCCAGCGCAGCTCCGGGATTCCTCCGCCCTCTCCCTCCTCCCCAGCCCCGCCGCCCCCCCCCCCCCCCCCCCCGCCCCGTTACAGCCCCCGGGGCCGGGCCGCGGCGGGGGCGGGGGGGGCGCAGCACAGCTCGGCGACTCCTCCGCGGAGTGGGGACTCCTTTCGGGCCACCCCACGCGCTCGCCGCGGGGGGGGCGGGGGCGCTGCCCTCGGCGCGGCCCTGAAGGTCGCCGGGCGCGCGCGGCCCCGCGCACGGGGGGGGGGGGGGGGGTCGACCCCTCCGCGCGTGGTACGACCCGGCCCCGCCTTCGCCCCCCTCGGATTGGCGGCGCCGCGCGCGATCGACGCCCGGGGCGGCCAATCGCCGCCCACCTCCTGCAGCGGCCGGGGGGCGGGGCCCGGCAGGAGGTCCCGCCCCCCGCGCCCGCCGATTGGCGGCGGGGCGGCCCCGCCCGCGCGCGGGGAGCGGGAGCGACGGAGGCGGGCGCGCGGCCGGGCAACGGCAGGGGCGGAGCGCTGCGGGTCCCGGCGTGCCGCGGGGCGGGGCGGGAAGCGCGCTTGCGCGGGGCGGGGCGGGGCGCGCTCGGCTATTTAAGGCGGGGCGGCGGGCGGGGAGCGGCAGTCGGGAGCGGGCGGCGGCGGCGGCGGGTGGGGGGCGCGGGGCGGGAGGCGCGTGGCAGCCGGGGTTGGGGGGGTGGCGGCGGCGGCGCGTGCCATGCGCGCGGGGGGGCGGGCCCGGCGGCGTTAACCCCTCGGCGACCGGCGGCGGCGACCCCCGGGGCCTCGGCCCCGCGCCATGGCCCGGGCGGCCTGAGGAGGGGTTGGGGGGCGAGCGGCGGCCGCCCCATGCGGCGCGGGTAGCGCCCGTCCCCGAGGGAGCCGAGCCGAGAGCCATGGCCGACGCGGTGCCCGTTGAGCCGGGGCCGGAGCCCCAGCGCGACCCTGAGCCCCCCCGCGAGCCCGAGCCGCGGCCGGAGCCCCAGCCGGAGCCCGAGCGCGGCGACGCGCCGGCGGCGGACGGCGAGGCCGGGCGGCTGCCGCCCCCCGGGGCGGAGGAGGCGGAGGGCGCGGGCGGCGCCGAGGGGCGGCCGGCGGCGGGCGGAGCGGCGCGGCCCGGCCTGGGCCCGCGGTACCGGTCGTCGGTTGGCCGCGCCGAGGAGTGGCCGGTGAAGAAGAAGCACCGTCGGCGGCCGTCGAAGAAGAAGCGGCGCTGGAAGCCCTACTCGAAGCTGAGCTGGGAGGAGAAGCAGCAGTTCGACGAGCGGCAGAGCCTCCGCGCCTCCCGGCTGCGCGCCGAGATGTTCGCCAAGGGGCAGCCGGTGGCCCCCTACAACACCACGCAGTTCCTGATGGAGGACCACGACCAGGAGGAGCCCGACCTGAAAACCGGGCTGTACCCGCGGCGAGCGGCCGCCAAGTCGGACGACACGAGCGAGGAGGATTTCCTGGAGGAGGCGGCGGAGGAGGACGGGGGCAGCGACGGGATGGGGGGGGACGGCAGCGAGTTTCTGCAGCGGGACTTCTCGGAGACCTACGAGCGGTACCATGTGGAGAGCCTGCAGAACATGAGCAAGCAGGAGCTGGTGAAGGAGTACCTGGAGCTGGAGAAGTGCCTCTCCCGCATGGAGGAGGAGAACAACCGGCTGAGGATGGAGAGCAAAAAACACGGGGGGGAAACGGCGGAGACGGCGCGGGTGCGGCAGCTGGAGCTGGAGGTGGACAGGTTGCGAGCGGAGAACCTGCAGCTGCTGAAGGAGAAGGACCTGCCCGGGCAGGAGAAGGGCCCCTGCAAGCTGGGGGAGTGACACTGGGGGGTACGGGGGGGGCTTTTTACAGTGGTGGGTGTAACATTCTATACATCTGTACAGAGACGCCGCGGACCCTTTTTAACGGGAATAAAGCGCAGTTGGGGAGCGGGGGGGCCTCCCCCCCCCTTTTTAGGTGGCGGTGGGGGGGTTGTGATGTATTGGTGATATTTGGTTTATGTTTTGGGTTTTTTTTTTTTGTGTCTAAACAAAAAAAAAAAAAAATTCCCCAGGAAAGCTGTAAATTGGCCAAAACTGACTATAAAAAATTATAGAGGTCTAATAAATTTAATTACTTGTAACTGTAATGGTTTCAGTGTGATTTCTAGAAAATATTCAGAATGGCATTGCAGAAGGGAATACATTCTGAATTATTTTCATGATGATATAACTGGTCTGTGGTGGTGGCTGATTCAAATTAGCTGTAATTTCCCAGTTAACCCTTTTGGGTTTCCCCCCCCCCCCCCCCTTATTTTAGTTCTAATCCTGTTCCATGAGCTGAAATAGTTAAAATACTTGGAAGAGGGATAACAGCTCTTACGATTAGGTGTATAATGGACACTGCTCACACCTCTCTAGTGCATTAATAAGCTAAACTATATTTGCCTAAAGGCTTGCTTAAACTTAATTCTGTTCCCCCCCGCCCAGGTCTGTAGGAACCTGGGTCAGTTAACTGAAATTGGGGCAAAAACTGCCTAAAAATATGCTTTAAGCTACAAGTGGGGGAAAAAACTTAAAAAGTTCTGGAGCAGCCCAGGGAAAAGTTTTAGTAGTCAGCGCTTGGCCTCTGAAATGGCTGACGAGGAGGGATCAGTGGAAGGCAAACGCGATGGCTCAACCTTTCACATCCCTGCTGCTGTACCTGAGGGGAAGGAGAAAAAAGCAGGAGGAGCGTCAGGCAGCTGTGTGGTGTGGGGGGGTTTGGGGGGGGGTGTGGAAAAAACAGGCAAATTAAAGGGCAAAGGAATGGAGGGGTCTGAGTCTGCTCCGGTTCACACCATCAGGCTGAACACTGGGAGCGCGAGTTCAGGAGAGGCTGTACCTGGGGAACCAGGGCAGCAGCTGGGGGAGCCCCCCCCCGTGCTACAGTGCAGAGCAGCAGCTTTTTCTGACAAATAAACAGAGGGGTTGAGCTCTGGGGGAGGAGGAGACAGAGGTGTCCCCGGGGTGGGACGCGCAGGCGGGTCAGTACGAAACGCTGAGGGGCTTCAGCTTTAAAGGATCACGGCAGATTTTTAACGCAAGCCTGGCAAACCCCGGCCTGCTCCGCGGCGTACGCTGGCACTGCCGGGGAGGAAAAAAAAAGGAAACTATTGGAGGGCTACTTGCTCAAGAGCCCGGTAGCCGCCCGCGCTGCCTTCCCCTCTGCCATGACATCAGCAGCAGAGCCAGCGCCCGGTGCGGCTGCGGGGGGAGGCCCCGAGCCAGGCCGGCAGCGAGAGGCAGCGAGTTCGGCAGGATCGCGCTGGCTGGAGCAGCCGCGCCGAAGCCAGAGCCCTCCTCCAGCCCGGGCTCTTCTTTCCAGCAATTCATTTCCCCCCAAATGAGCGATTTCCCTCTCCGGGATTGATTTCTGTTTTCTTCTGGGGCAGGACAGCCGCAGGCACGCGTCCAGCAGCGCTAACTCCAGCAGTGGGTGCTACGCTCCAGAAGTACCACGAACTGTGGCTCTTGGCACCTGGAGAATGTGAAAAACTTAATGCAAGGAAGTATTATTAGTCAAACGTAGCAGGATGGATGTTACAGTGATGGCTGTTACCAAGTTCAGCACACCCACGGGGTTTGCCCTCCTATTTACCCTCAACTCATTACATTTAACTCCTAGGAATCAGTTTTTTGAGTTATCTGCAAATGCTTTAACAAAAAAAAAATAAAAAAAAAAAAACAAAACACTAAAAGAACCATAACAATCAACTCTCCAACCTGCTCTGACTCCACCAACTTTTCTTATTTTATTCCCTGCTCTGTTTTAATGAAAACAGCTCTTCATACGCACCAGGTTACCCCAATCCCCACTTCAGGAGGCATTTAAGAACGGCACGTCTCCTCGTAAAGGCTCATTCCAGCCCCTGCTTTCAAACCTCCTGGCAGACGCGGGCTTAGGGCGTTCAGGGACCTTTGAAACCTCCGAGTGGATCAGTAACAGGCAGGGAGCTCGTCCGCTCTTCGCCTCCCCAGCTGAGGGGAGCGCGCCCGCCCGAGCCTCCCCGCCAGCGCCGGAGCCGGGCTCAGCGCCGGTCCCGAGGAGACGAGCTCAACTGTTTGAGAGGAACAAATAAAATCTTAAAGAGATCGCCAGAGATCAAGGTGCCGCAGCGCTGGCTGTGATGTGGTATCAAAGGGCAGCAATTAGTCCCTCCTGACAAGGCGGCAGCGCACTGTCATAACTGGTTGAGGGCAAGTAGCTCCCTGGAGGGCAGGGCAGCCGGGCCTGCCAAACCTTTGAAGCACATCCCTTCTCTGGCTGCCACCACTTTGGTCTTTCCCAGGTTGTTTGAGCCAACTGGCCTTTATTCCGGCTCCTCCGGTGAGCCCAGAACGCCGCCGGCACGGCAGCACCCCTCCCATCTCCCACCAGGCTGCGCCTCGGCAGGAATCTGCTGGGGCCCAGCCGTAGGAAGGGGCTGCTGGCTGCTCCCACCCCGGATCTGTGGCAATCGCCCTCGGAAACACGGGGTGCAGAGGGACCCTCCTGCCTAAAGGGCTTTCACAGTTCCTCCCCTTGCAAGGGTTTCCCACCCACTGAGGATTCATCCCGGGGGGGGGGGGGGGGGGGAGGTGTAAATTATTGGACTAAGGCAAAACAAAAGGGGACCAAAACATCCCACCTGTGGTTAGGACCGTTCTTTATGGACACAGGGGCAAAGGGGCGTAATGACAGACCAGTTGCCTGAAAACACTGCTGGCTGCAAGAAAATAAATAATAAAAAAAAAAAAAAAAAAAAAAAAGGAAGTAGTCCATCTTAACAGGCCGTTAAATGCTGCAACCTTGGTGTGAAGTGAAACCTGAATCCTGCCCCTTAACACCAGCTGAGGGGAGCAGGCAGCTCGCCTGCCCTCATGGTCTGAAGAAGTTTCAAGGAGCAGGTTGCCAGTACTCACCCGCAGGGCAATCGGGTCCTGCAGTCCGTTCAACCAGGCTGTTTGGTGTTCCAGATTATATAAAGCAGGGACACGGTGCTGACAATAACACTGTTGTCCTGCTTGCGACTTAACTTGCACTAATTGCATTTAATTTTGTTATCTTTACCTTCTGAGGATATACTTACACAGCTGTTCAGGATATCCTGGTGATTCTCTTGTGTTGCAAGTGGCACTTTATTAAAAAAAAAAAAAAAGAAAAATAAAAAAGAGAAGGATCTGCAGCATGGAAGCCCTGCACATGGAAGAGGATTTCTAGCACTCACTGATGAGGCCATCACCAAAAAGCTGGCGGATTTTTGGTCCATCTGCAACATACCAAACCCTGGCTGTTAGGATCAGGCCCTTCATCTTCGCTCCCTTCCTGCTCCCACCCTACAAAAACCCTCCAACAACCTAGATAGGTGCTAAGGCACCTGGCTCAAATTAAGCGTAACCCTGATTAGTTTGGCAAAATCAACTTGAAATTACATCTTCACCTGTCATGCACACGTGAAGACACGCACGATGATAAACCTCCCAGCTTTGAAAATGCAGCAGTTTATAAAAATATGAAGCTTCAGAGTTCAGGACCTAATAAAGGAACATGGGAGACAAAAACTGTCAGCACAGTCATAACAACAAAGCACCTTATTGAAAAAAAGAGAACACAAAGTGCATAAATGTAAAATAATCCTGGTTTTAACTGGAAGAGTCCACATTTGACAGCACAATCCGTACTTATACCAGGAGCCTCCAAAATCTCACTATTCTACATCAAAACCAAGTCCCATTAATACCAGGGGATAAGCCAGCATTATCTGCCTTTTGCAGAGGGAAGAAAATGCAGCAGTGGCACTCGCTTAAAGCAACTCAGCCCGTAACACAACTGGGAACTCAACTCGGTGTCACTGGCTGCCCCAAGCCCCAGCTCTCATCTGGGAACTGAGCAGAGGCTGCTGTCAGCTCAGAAATTTCCGAACACTGAGGGTGTTGGGGTTTTTTTCTTAAAAAAAAAAAAAAAAAGTGGCTTTTTTAAGAACTGGCTTGTTTTGTTTTGGTTTTTTTTTTGTTTTTTTTCCCCTTTATCTTTGCACAGGAAAGAAACCCCACTCAGTTATTTCCACAGCTCTCATTTCCACCAGCCTGAGGAGTGGCATTTATAACTCAAAGACAAGGTTCGCTCCAGTTTATTATCACCTTGAAAAGTTACCCCCTCGGCCCTGGCAACAGGCAAACGCTTTTGTTTTTAAGTCTCTCCAAGCACCACAGCAGCAATTGCTGCCTCAGTAGACGGCAGCAGAGGGGAGGCCATGTTAACTGCGATCCACTGGATCCGGGCAGAGAACCCCCTCGGGGAATCCGGCCGCGGTTCGGCTGAAATGGGTGAAACAAAGGATTAAATTCGAGGGATTATTTTTTTTTCCCCCGACACGGTGCATTAAAAAGGTGTCGTGCCACGGCGCGGTGGATAACGAGCGGCTTCCACCCTTCCAGGAAACGCGTTTCCTAATCCAAATTTCACTTTCAATATAAAAGTGCGCTCTTCCTCCCCTTTTTGCTCCTACCGGGGGTCAGTCACACACCCGCCCTGCCGGGAGCTCGGGGGGGGGGGGGGGGGGGGGGGGGGCTGCTGTCGAGCAACCTCCAAATACCGTTTCCCGCGGGTTTTGATAAAAAAACACCCCCCCTTGCCCCCCGTCCGACACCACAGCCGAGGCGCCTCTTCCGAGCGGAGCCACGACGCGAAACCGGCGCTCAGAGGCCCCGGCGCCGGCCCCAGCTCTGGCGGCTCCCGGCGAGGCGGTCCCGGCCGGGGATGGGCTCCCGCCGCCCCCGGAGCCCTGACAGGGGGAGCGGCCGACGGCGGCGGGGAGACCCGCGCTCCGCTCCCGGGACAAGGGAGGCCCAGCCGGGCCGCCCCGCGCTCCCGGCTCGGCGCCGCGGAGAAGCCACCCCGCCGGTCCCCGGCCGCTCACCGGCGCCTCCGCGGCGGGCAGCGAGGCCCGGAGCCGGCCCGGGCACACACAAAATGGCGGCGGCCGCCGCTGCCCCCCCTCACCCTCTCGGCCGCCATAGCTGGCGCCTCGGCGCTGTCCCCCTTCCACCAATCAGGCGCCGCCGTACCGCTGCCTGACAGCTCAGCGAAGCCAATGGAAACGAGACTTGTAGAGGAAGAGGCGCGGCTCGCCTCCGCCGCGGGGTCTTGTGGGGGCTGTAGTCCTCCGCCGCGGCATGGCGGCGGGGATGGCGCCGCCGCAGACTCGCCGTCCCATGATACCGAGCGGCCCCGACCGGGCAGGGCCGCGTTGCCATGGCGACGGGAGGGGCGGGGCGGGGCCGCTCCCGGCTCGGAGCGGCGGCCGCGGGGGCGGGGGGACCCCGGTACCGGGGGCTGCGCCGCAGCGGGGCCGCCTCCCTCGGCGGGCTCCGGGGAGGAGGTTTTCGGAAGGATGGAGACACTGAAATCTGGCCCTGGGTGCGGACCGGCCCGGCCTGGCGGCGGCACCGGGAACCGAGGCCTCGCTCAAGCGGCGGGCGGCGGCCCCAGGAAGGGGCCCGGCTCTAGGCCCGGCTTTTGGACTCAGCTTCGCTCCGTTATCGCCCCCCTCCGCCTTCGGAGCCGTCCCCGCGCGGCGGGCAGCAGGCCCGGACCACAGTTCGCAAATGCGGCTGGCAATGAGCAACGCGGGTCTCCCCGGGGGGATCGGCACCGGGCGCACCGGGAGGTGCTGGCTCTCGCCCCGGTTTGCCTCGGCCCAGTTCCAGCTCGGCCTCCTCCTCCCTGCTGGAGCCTGGGCTCCATCTTGGATCTCAAGGAGACGAGTGACCCCGAGAGCGAAGTCGGTGAACTTTTCCAGGTGTCTCTCTCGGATTTTTCCCCGTTCGTGCCACGGGCACTGGTAACGCTCCTTGCAGGTGGCCACGATGCCTGAGCCGTGGGTGTTGTGGATGGGCTTCCCAGCCTGCAAGTATGTGATGGAACAATGTGTATCTTGGGCACCAGGGCACATAAAAGGGAAAAATAAGCGATAAATTTTGTATAAAGGAAAAAAAAAAAAAAAAACAACACAGACCAGGGTGTCCATATGAAGGCAGACATTTTGGACTTTCTCAGAGGGAAGCATGGGGCCGGCTGGGCCCAGGCTGTTTCCCCTATGTGATTTTGGGGAGAACAGTGCAGGGAATCGGCCTGCTCAGCCTCTTGAAGCTTTTTGAATCAAGTTCTCCTGTTACAAAAAGACAAAAGAGGGTTTCTTCTGGGCTGGTAAACCCCAAAATCCTCCCCCTCCCCCATGTTGTTTATGATTTTAATGAGCGTGTTAATTGTGCTGAATGTTTTCCTGCTGGAGGGTTGGTGTTGGAAATGGCCTGGCTCTTCCGGAATGGAAAAGGGGGATGAAAAATGAGCCAAATCTTGGGATTTGGGTGGGGAGGAAGGGGACAGATCCACTTCTCCCCCTCTGTCCCAGGTTGACTGTGCTGTAGAAATGGGGGACAGTGGGGAGCAGAAACCTGTTTTGCAGAGACCCAGAGGGGCTGTGAAGGAGGCTGGTGGCATCGGTGCCACGTCCCAGGGAGGGAACTCCCCGGTGTCACCCATGGCATGGGGCTGGGTGCCCCCCAGCCCCCCCGGGACCCTCCCAGTCCCTGATGGGCACTGTGCCGGTGAGGCAGCGCCGGGCCGTGCTGGGAGGTGCGGGCAGGGCTGGCAGCCAGCGAGAGGCCCGGGCTTGCCCCGGTCGGGTGGCAACGGCTGACACGGTGCCAGGGAACAGGAGGGGCCCTGGAGCAGCCCTGTGCCGTCTCCGGAGGGTTTTGTGCCTCTCCACTCCCTGACTGGGAGATGTTGGGATCTTCACAGATCCCAACAGAGCCACGCTCTCCGGGATGCTCCACAGGCACAGGCATTCCTCCTCACACCCCCCCCCTTGGCACTCTTTGAGTTTATGTGTTCCCAGAGTCAGCCCACTGCTAAAAGCCAGAGGAACCCCCTTTTTAGGGGATTTTCTGTGTCAGGAGCAAGGTTTCATTAGCTATGACATCAGCAACACAAAGACATGACAGTCCCCAACGATTGCTGACGGGGTTTGACTCCCTGCATGTCTCACTTCCCAGGTTTTTGTGCCTTCAGAGGATCAGAGCCCAACAACAGCCCCCCCAGTCACGGGTGTCCGTGCTGTGGGACCCCCTGCCCGCCCCTCCTGCCCTTCTTTTGCCTACTGCTGCCTGGAGCAGAGCGCAAGGCGGGGACAGAGGGGTTTGCAGGAGCAGGGGAACAGCCTGGCGTGTTGATAACCCACACCTCCTGGGGTGTTGAACTTATCTGTCAGCCCATAGCTGCCCCGGCACAGCTGAGTGCCGAGTCAGCCAGTGCCTGGTGCCAGCCCCTCGGCCACTCTCTCCTCGGTGTATTTAACAGCAGGAGTGTTGGCAAAGCTCTCTGAGGTCGCCACGTGTGATTATTTTTTGGCCCAGGGGGCTGCTGTTAGGATCTGGAGGTGATCCCACTCTCCCGGGTGCTCTGTGTGCCATGAAAGTGCCATCCACCCTGTCCCCAAGCCACTTTGCTTTCCCCGGGCTGGAGGAACAGGGCCAAGGTTCCAGTGGTGCTGGGGGCTCAAGGCTGTGCAGAGGAGCTGGAAGGTTTGGCAGCTGACCCCGCACAGGGAGAGGCTGATCCCCGCACTGCTGGTGCTGGAGGTTTTTGTGTTTTATAGCTCCAGATTTTTTTTTTTTTTTTTCCCCATGTATTTGGGTGTTTTCCAGCCCTGTTTTAGCTTCCTCCACACCCCAGGGTGTCTGGCTGAGCATGACCAGCTGGGTCTGGGCACAGCCATCACCCCGTCTGCCACCCATGGGTCCTCCCACCCTTCATGGCACCTGAAAGCATGAGTGCTGTGACCCTTTCTGCACCTCTCAGGAATATTTTGGGGACATCCGATGTTGTTTGTACAGCCCTCATCTTGCAGAACTGGCGTCCTGCGGGACGACAGACGCAGCTGGGTTCACCCCCAGCCTCCGGGCAGGCTTCGCAGGGGGCACAAATGCCATGGGCTGGATTTAAACTGGTGACGTGGGGGGGTGTCTCCTTCCAAAGCTGTTTTGGGTCTGGATTTGCAGCCGGAGGAGGGGTTATCACGCCGTAGCCCCAGGATAGCGCTGCCCCTGATGAAGCAGGGTGCTTGCTGGGCTGGATGAGGCAGGGAGCAGCTTTCTGGGACCGGCCTGAGCTTGAGCAAAGCCTTTAGTGGCTGGGGCAGGGGTGGAATGAAGGGAACCCAACACTGGCGACCGAGGTCTGCAAACAGCCCCTGCAGCCCCAGCCCCAGGCCTGCCTCTCCCAGCACCAGCACAGGCAAACGGGAGCTGTGGGCAGTGCCGTGGCTGGGACGTGCCGCCCTGCCTGGGGACAGGGTGCCTGCCCTGCCTGCACGCTGCTGCTGGGAGCCCTTGGGTGCCCTCACATCCCCTGGCACTGTCCCCAGGGCACCTGAAAGTCCAGCCCGTAACCCCGCTGCCACCTTGTGCCATTTGCTTTGCTCTATTTATCTCTTCAGGCTGAAGCTGATGTGAAACGTCCCCCGGCACCAGCACAGCTTTCACACCCGCTTCCCACAGTGGGGCCACCCAGCAACCAGTAACCAACTCCCAGCTCCCTAACATCCCTGGTCCTAGAACCTCAGGTCCCAGCTCCCAGCATCCCAGTGCTCAACAGCCAGAGCTCTGGCACCCAGCATCCCAGCTCTCATCCCAGTGCCCAGAGCACAGCTCCCCAGCATCCCAGCTCCCATCCCAGTGCCCAGCTCCCCAGCATCCCAGCTCCCATCCCAGAGCTCAGCTCCCATCCCCGTGCCCAGCTCCCCAGCATCCCAGCTCTCATCCCAGTGCCCAGCTCCCATCCCAGTGCCCAGCTCCCCAGCATCCCAGCTCTCATCCTAGTGCCCAGCTCCCCAGCATCCCAGCTCCCATCCCAGTGCCCAGCTCCCATCCCAGTGCCCAGCTCCCCAGCATCCCAGCTCCCATCCCAGTACCCAGCTCTCATCCCAGTGCCCAGCTCCCCAGCATCCCAGCTCCCATCCCAGTGCCCAGCTCCCCAGCATCCCAGCTCCCATCCCAGTGCCCAGCTCCCCAGCATCCCAGCTCTCATCCCAGTGCCCAGCTCCCATCCCAGTGCCCAGCTCCCCAGCATCCCAGCTCTCATCCCAGTGCCCAGTTGTCATCCCAGTGCCCAGCTCCCCTTCATCCCATCTCGCATCCCAGTGCCCAGCTCCCCAGCATCCCAGCTCCCATCCCAGTGCCCAGCTCCCATCCCAGTGCCCAGCTCCCCAGCATCCCAGCTCCCATCCCAGTGCCCACCTCCCATCCCAGTGCCCAGCTCCCCAGCATCCCACCTCCCATCCCAGTGCCCAGCTCCCATCCCAGTACCCAGCTCCCATCCCAGTGCCCACCTCCCATCCCGTTGCTCAGCTCCCAGCGCTCCCAGTACGTCGCTGCCCCGCCCTGCCCCCAGCGCAGCGTGCCGCCCGAGCCGGCCACGTGCGCCAGCGCCCCGCCCCGCCCACTGCCGGGCATGGCCCCGCCCATCGTGGCGCACGGGGTTCTGGCTCCGCCCACTGCGCTGAACTCCGACCTGGCCCCGCCCCATCCGCCCCGCCCCGCTCGCGAGTGACACGCCCCCTGTCCTGTCGGCCCCGCCCACAAGCAGCACACCCCCGTGCCTGGCGTGTCCACCGTGTCTCCCGTGCCCCTCTGTCCTCCGTGTCCCCCAAGTCCCTCCGTGTCCCCGTGTCCCCCAGGACACTCCATGTCCCCGTGCCCCCAGCCCCCATGCCACCCGTGTCCCCCGTGCTTCCGTGTCCCCGTGTCTCCCGTGTCCCCTGTGTTCCCCGTGCCCCCCATGTCCCCCTGTCCTCCATGTCCCCCAAGTCTCCCCGTGTCCCCCGTGTCCCTGTGTCCCCAAGTCTCCCTGTGTCCCCATATCCCCTGTGTATCCCCCTCTGTCCCTGGGTTCCCACCAGGTCTCCTGTGTCCCCCCCCGTGTCCCCAGGTGCCCTGAGTGACCACCCCATCCCCTGTGTCCCCCCGTGTGTCCCCAGGTCCCACCGTGCCTCTGTGTCTCCCAGGTGGCCCCAGACCCTTCCAGGTCCCCTGTGGCTTCCAGGTGCCCCCATCCCTGGTGTCCCCCTGTCTCTTGTGTCCCTCTGTGTCACCCATGTCCTCCATGTCCCCCACGTTCCTCCCATGTCCCCCCGTGTCCCCCATGTCTTCTTTGTCCCTCCATCTCCCCCCACGGCCCCTGTGTGCTCTTGTGACTCCCATGTCCCCCCCACCCCCAGTGTCCCCCCCGCCTCTCCTCTGTCCCTTCCCCGTTCCCCTGCTCCCCCCCACGTCCTCCGAGTACCTGCCTCTGTCACCATGTCCATGGTGTCCCCCCATGTCCTCCATGTGCCCCTATGTTCCCTGTGTCCCCCAAGTCCTCTGTGTCCCCCATGTCCCCCATGTCCTCTATATTGCCATGTCTCCCTCGTCCCCACATGCCTGGCCCTGGCACACACACTGAGTGCTGGCATCTCCAGAAGTGGGGGAGCGGAGACAGTGTCCCCCCAGACAGTGGGGATTAGGGACCACGTGTCCCCCGGGGTGATGGGGAGCGGGGGCTCTGCCCCCCAGAACACTGGGGACCTGCCCCTGCATCCCCGCCGGGGCCACCGAGCCCATCCCTCAGGCATGATGAGATCATGGACAGACAGACGCCCAGATCCAGGACCCTGTGAGGTGACCCTGTCTCCCTTGTCCCCCCAAAGCCACACTGTCACCCAGTGTCAAGGTCCACTGGCTGAACCCTGCAACAACTGCATTTATTGTAGGACCTACAAAAACAGCAGAGGCAGCTAAATCTGCCCAGTGCCCGGCACAAAGGCGGCCTGAGCCAGCGCAAAGCCGGGGGGGGCTGCATGGGGGGGTCGGGATGAACCGAGGGGGTCCAGTGGGGCACCCCATGGGGAGGATGAGTGGGTGAAGGATGGGGGGGGTCACCGGGAAATCCCATCCCAGCTTTACCAGGGGTTCCTCTGGGCAGGTGGGGACAACTTGAGCATGCAAGAGGGAACCCATGGATGCCCGGGTGTGAGTGCTAACACTTAATTAATTAATTTCATAAAGCACGAGAAGAGGATGTCCATGGTGGGTAATGCACTGCTGGACATTTTGGATGGGCCACCTTCCCAAATCCAAAAGCAAAGGTGCAAGAAAGGGCCAGGGGTCGGAAGCCATTAAACGAAGCGCTGTTGGTAACGAGGTTTGTTTTGACAGCTGGAAAATTCCAAAGGATGGCTGGATCTGCTCGTCCTGCCCTGGACCGGCTCGTTTACCCTCGCTCCTTAAAATCCTTCCAGCTTTTCCAACTGTTGACCTTAAACTCCTGGGGATGCTCCAGTAGATGAGATCAAGGGGAAATTTGGTTTAGAGCTTACAAATTAAACTCTGTCCTTAGGTGGGCTTGGGGGGGGGGGGGGCTGAGCCAGGCTACGCTCCCGTGGGAATTAAATGCTGGGAGCGGGATAACTACCGGCGCTGCGCGAGGGAGGGATGGAGCTTGAACGGCCGTGCTGCCCCAGACCTGTGCTTGTCCCCGAGCCGCTTGTCATCCTCATGCTGGGAAAAAAAAGGTATCTGTGTCTGTTGGTGGCAAGAAGTTGAGTCTGGATGGTGCTCAGGGCAGCGGCCCGTCACGGTGCGGGGTCACCCAGGCGTCCCACGGCGTCCCCAGGGACTCCGGGCTGGTGTGACTCTCCATGCAGAGGGGTGGGTGGGAAGCGGCTCCCGAGGGACTCACCCTCCAGCCAAGTGCTGGATCCTGGCACACCCTCACAGGGACGACGGGTGCTGCCACCCCCCCCACGGGTCTGCCCCAGCCTAAATCTGTTTTCTCGTCCTGGCCTTTTTCTGCTCGTTTTTGCTGTTCGTCACTGGAACGAGCATCAGGCCAACACTGACATCAAGTGGCTGCCGGGATCCCTCGCACGCCTGGGCCATATCCTGCCTCGCCCTGTGCTGGGAGTGGCCCAGCACCACCCGCACGGCCTCATCCTGCTCTGAAGAGGAGCCGGGAGCCAAGCAGGGTCAGGAGCTGTGGCCAGTGGTGCCAGACATCGCCCGGCCAGGTCCCCATTGCCTCTTGCCAGGCAGGCAGGATGAGGCCAGCCGTGCTCCATCGTCACCTCGCCGCCTGTCCCCAGCCAGGTCATCGCTGTGTTTGATATCCCACCGGCGTCGAGCTGAGTGCGCTGATGGCAGCGCCGAGCCGGGAGCATCCGCCGCTTCCCTGGCCCATGGGGTGCTGGCCATGGGACCCCCATACCACAGTTCTTGCTGGTGGCAAGGTCATGGTGACAGGTGAGCAGTGAGGCCATGGTGGCTCTGCCACCGCCCCGGCGCTGGGGACACTCGTCCCTGACACCCCGCCAGCAGCTCTGGACTTTGTGCAGCGGCAGCGACGCGTCTGCAGGAGCTGTCAGAGCCCCAGATCGCCTGTGACACCTGGCCCCGGACGGCAGGTAACACCAGGGTGACATCCCCTCTGCTCGGGGGGGATGCTGTGACACAGGTGTCATGGGGGAGGACAGGTCCCCACACAGTGCCGCTGCCCCACCCCTGGGTCTGGAGTCAGCTCCAGGAGAAAATCACAGCATTATTCCCGTTTTAAAGCAGGGAAAACCAAGGCACACCAGGGCACTGGGTGCCTCCTTTGGGGGGGAAAGGCTGGAAAACCTCCTTTTTCCTCCAAACCTCTGGGCTCAGAGGAGTTTTGCAATGCCTCATTCCCCTTCATCCCAGTTTCCCTAAACCTGAAGCCGAGCTCACCCAAGAAAGCCCAAAGCCCAAGATGAGTTTTAGGAACAGCGATAGCTGTGGTGGTACATTGGCTGCAGGTGGAGCTGGGAATAGGGCAGCAGGTGTGGGTGCTCAGCCCCTCTGTGGGAACCCACCCATGGGTGGGGAAGGAGGCGGAGGTGTGCAGGGGCTGGGCTGCTGGTGGATTTAGCTCTGGAGAGGCTCCAAGGTCTGGGATACAGGCTGGGAGGGTTGAGTTCTCTGCTATGTAATGAGGTGTGTCAGGTCTCTACAGACCCCCACCTTGAGATTTCTCCAGACGAGACCCCAGCGTTGCAGACCTGTGACCTGGCATGGTGCTAAATGGGGCGTTGAGGGGTTTGGGACCGTGGTGCTGGGCACGGTTTGGGGAGGGCTCAGTGGTGATGCTGGTGGTTGTTTATCCCCCAAGTCCGGAAACGCTCTGCTGGGAAGGAAAGGGAGGGGAGAGCTGGGGCTGTTCCCAACACTGGAGCGGAGAGGGGGCTCTTGGCTGTACCCAGAGACAACACTGGGACATCCCTAAATGTGTGGTCCCAGTGGTCCTTGACCCCCAGCATCACCTCTTCCTTCCCCCTCCAGCTCCCTGGTGACTCTGCAGTGACCGGGAAGGATCAGGAACCTGCTGACAGGACCTGACAGTGACAGGTCAGTGCTGTGGCTCTTGGCTTGGGGTTTGGGTGCTGCTGCCTGCCACCCTTGGGTGTCATCGCCCTGTCATCCCAATCCCTCCGTGGACGAAGTGGGGAGGAGACATGCATAAGGAAACAGGTCCTTTGCCCTAGAAATGTGGCTTTTTCCTGGGGATTTCCTGGCTGATGCAAGACAGGACATGAGAAAAACATCAGCTTTGAGCATGAGGCGCTACTGGAAAGAGGTTGTCTCTGTCTAAGAAGGGACCTTGTTTTAAAATTGGGTTTGGCCCTTCGCTGGGCCTCTTTGGGTCCGTCAGGATGTCAGCTCTGGGGTAGGCTGGGGAGTGCAGGCGGAGGTGGAGAGATGCTGGTGGTCTCGCACAGCAGGGAGAAGGTGCGGGGCTCCAGGGAGTGGCCGGAGCAGACACCCGGGCATCGCCTGCCTCAGCACCCCCACCCCAGCACAGGGCTGCCGGAAGCCTTGGGGCCGCATCCAGCACCCGTCCTGACTGCGTCAGCACCCAGCGAGGAGCCAGTGGCACCACCATGTCCCAGGCAGAAGGTATGGCTGAGCCCCCGGTCTGTCTCGAGTAAGGTGCAGGCTTTGCACAGGGACCCCAGTGCTGGTGCAACCCCCCCAAACCAGCAGCAATCTCCATCCCATCCTGTTTAATGGCCCCGTTTCACCTGGATTTTTAATCCTGAAAGCACCCCAAACCCTGATTTCCAGGGTGCTGGACTGCTCCAGGATCTCCTGCAGCAGCAATCCCTGTCCCCATGTCCCCTCCAGGTCCCATGGGTACTGTGTGGGGAGGGTGGTTGGACCCGGATGGAGCCGGGGGGGTGTGGGGAGGCACAGAAATAAGCACTGGAGGGGAAGTGCAGGCAGCTCATTCCCAAAGCACGAGGGATCCATGCATGGATCAACCTGTTCCATCCCTCCCAGGAGGTGAGGAGACCTTTGAATACTGCGATGTCGTCATCAACAGCCAGAAGAAGGTGTTGGATGTGTACACGCAGCTGGAGAAGCTGGGAGAGTAAGTGGGGGGCCCCATGTCCCCACCACTTGGTGACGGTCCACAGCTGTTCATGCACAGCCCTGGGTGGGATGCAGGGTGGTGATGATGGCTCCTCCATCCCTCACCCTCACTCTGTCCCAGGGGAAAATTTGGGACTGTGTACCGGCTGCAGGAAAAAGCCACTGGCAAAATCCGGGCTGGGAAGTATTTCCGGACGCGGACAGCTAAAGAGAAGCGGGCGGCTCGGGCTGAGGTGGAGCTCATGAACCTGCTGCATCACCCGCGCCTCGTGCAGTGCCTCGCCGCCTTCCAGGGCCCCGCCGAGCTGGTGATGGTGATGGAGTAGTGAGTCTGGGGGCAGAGTCAAGTTTGGGGGTGGTGGGGACAGTGCTGGACCCTGCAAGGAAGGGCACAGAGGGTGGGGAGGGGCTGCTGCACTGTGGGGTGCTTTTGAGGGGTGTGGGATGGATGGGGAACCTAGAGATACGGGTGGCAGGATGCTCCCAGAGCGCTGAGTCGAGGTTCCCTAGTGGGGCTTCCCCTTGGGGCTGGTAGACCCCAGTGGGGTCCCCAGCACCTTGTCCTCTCCCAGTGTGGCAGGTGGGGAGCTCTTTGAGCGCATCTTGGACGATGACTTCGAGCACACGGAGCCCAGTAGCGCCCAGTATGTGCAGCAGATCCTGGAGGGGCTGCAGTTCATGCATGGCCAGGCCATCGTCCACCTTGACCTGAAACCCGAGAACATCGTCTGCGTCAGCCCCAGCAGCCACTGGCTCAAAATCATCGACTTCGGCCTGGCGCGGAAGCTGAGTGAGCAGGAATGGGGGTCCTGGGGGATCAGAGCAGGGACTGTCACCATCACAGGGACACGATCCAGCTGTGCACGTCAGCAAGGAGCGTGGCATCTTCCTGCCCGTGCCCCTATGACACCAGTTCAGGGGGTCCTTCCTGGTGACCACAAGATGCTCTGGGGAAACCTACATGTCCCCAGCCCTGTCTCTGAGGTGGGGACCCCTGAGACCCCCAACCTCATGGGTGTCTGGCACCCAGAGGTGTTGTAGGAGATCACCAAGACCTGTGATGTGTTCTGGAGGGGGGAAGTTACACCTGTATGCAGGGGCTCATCCACTTGGCATGCATTGGGGTGCAGCTGGGCTGCCCTGGAGAGATGCCCAGGTGTCCACCTGCCTCCTGGTCTCCATCTTTTCTGCAGCTCCAGACACCCCTGTGAAGGTGCTGCACGGCACCCCTGAGTTCATGGCTCCAGAAGTGGTTGCCTTTGAGCCTGTGGGTTTCTCCACGGACATGTGGAGTGTTGGTGTCATCTGCTACATCCTGTGAGTGGTCTCCTGGGGACAGCAGGTCTGGCTGGAGGGGGCTGAGCTGTCACTGATGTCTTTGCGTCCCACCTCCAGGCTGAGCGGGGAGTCCCCCTTCCAGGGGGACAATGACATGGAGACGCTGAGCAACATCACAGCTACCCGGTGGGACTTTGAGGAAGAGGTCTTCTCAGAGATCTCCCAGCAAGCCAAGGACTTCATCAGCCAACTGTTGCAGAAGAACCCCCGGTAGGACCTGGGGGTGGCGGTGGGGTGCTGACCTGGTCTGGGTTTTGGGGTGCTAAGGGGATGGACAGGGGCAAGCACTGAATGTGGTCCATGGAGGGGATGCTCCATGGGTCCATGCCAGCAGCCAAGGGTCTGATGGTGGAACAGTCCCCCCGTGACTGCCCTGTCTGTCCCCAGCTGCCGACTCTCCAGTGCGGGGGCTCTGCTGCACCCCTGGCTGCAGCAGCCCCAGCCCAGCAGCACGAAGGCACTGTCAAAGGAGAGGATCAAGCAGTTCCTGACACGTCGGAAGTGGCAGGTACTGGCGGGGCGGGGTGTGGGGATGATGAGGATGTGGGGATGGGGATAGCTCTGGTGGGGCTCAGTGTTCCTTCTCTTCTCTCCAGAAAACAGGCAAAGCTCTGCTGGCTCTCAACAGGTTGACCCTGCTGTCCCAGAGCCCGGAAAGGAAAGTGTCAGAGGCTCAGGATGAGGAAGGTGATGGCCCCTGAAGCATCATCCCCAACGCACTCCATCAACCCACTTGGCTTCGCCATCCCCAACTTATTCTCCTGGGCAGCTGCCCCCACCTTTGCTCCCAGTTGCCCCAGTGCCACTAAACACCTGGGCATGTCCCCACTGTGGCATTTCTGCTCCGGGGCTGGCTTCAGTACCCCAAGAGTGCCTCCATCCTCATCCCCAAGGGGCCATCTCTGATGCAGCCTTGGAGTGGGCACATCCTGCTCTGCAGGGCTGGGATCTGTGTGTGATCCAGAGCTCTGGGATCCAGAGCTGATCCCCACGGGACGTGGCCTGTGGGTGCCACATGTGTGCCTCCAGTAGAGGAGGGAGGCTGAACTCAGCCAGCCCCTCACCATTCCCTCTGTCCATCTGCCTGCAGACCTGGGCTGCAGCCTGGAGGAGGACAAAGCCTCCGGGTCCCTGCCCTGGCAAGGTCCCGGCTTATCGGAGCTGCTGATGGACCAAGAGGAGGAGGAAGGTGGGAACACCGTGGCCTCAGGGGAGGGAGAGAGCAGCGTCAGTGTGGCCACGCCACCCCAGCCCTGGACCACCTAGAGCAGCTGGGGAGAGAGGAGCAGTCAACGGGGCTGAAACCTCCTCCAGCAGCAAACACAATGACCCAGCCAGCCTGGGGTAGATCCAGACCCCAGGACTCCTCTCCTGCAGGTGAGCTCTGGGGTCCCACAGTGTCCCTGTGCTGGTGTGGGGACAGCTATGCCTGCTGTCCCCAGCAAGGAACCAGTGCTCCTGTCTGCATGGCTGCCCAGGCTTGAGCTGTTACCAATAAAGCACTGAGGATCTCTGCACTCCCTGTGCTGCTTCTTTCCCACCTCTCCCAGTGATTTTTAGTGGGAAAAGAGCTGCCCAAGTTGTTTGCACCCTTTGGGAGTTAGCACCAGGCTCTCCCCCTACCTGGGCCACCACTCATGTCCTCTCCAAGAAAGATGCTGGCCCTGGGGCCAGGCACTGAGTGGGGATGGCTCCAACCGCAGCCCTTGGTGTCCCTTGTTTGGGGCACCTTGTTTGGAGTCTTCTCTCACCATCAAGGGGGGTTGACATCATGTGAGGAGCCAAGATGAGCCCCAGGGCCTCTGGTCTCCATTTCTGGACAGACTCTGCTACAAGCAGAGCTGGAAAGAGCCCAGAAACTGCTGTGTGACCTCCAACCTCCTCCCAAGGAGGCAGCTTGGGCAGAAATTAGTGTTTGAGAGCCCCTCTCCTTCAACAAGAAGTGAGCAGCCCTGTCCCTGAGGAGGAACAACCCCAGGCACCAGTAAGTGCTGGGGGACACCCAGGTGGGAAGCACCTTAGCCTGGGGGTCCTGGTGGACAGCCAGCAATGTGCCCTTGCTGCAAAGGCGAATGGTGTTCTGGACTGCATTAGACAGGGGGAGGGAGGTGATTCTGCCCTTTATTCAGCACTGGTGAGGCTACACCCGGAGGACACTGTCATGTTCTGGGGTCCCCAGTACAAGAGAGACATGGAGACACTGGAGAGAGTTCAGTGAAGGGTGATGGAGGGACTGGAGCACCTCAGGAAAGGCTGAGGGAGCTGAGACTCTTGACTAAAGAGAAGGCTCAAAGGGCATCTCCTCAGTAGCCATAAATACCTGAAGGGAAGGTGCAGAGAGCATGGAGCCAGGCTTTACTCAGGGGTGCCGGGTGGCAGAACCAGAGGCCGTGGGCATCAGCTGAAACCCAGGAGGTTCCATCTGAACAGATTTTGACTGGTGATGGAGCACTGGCACAGGCTGCCCAGGGTGGTTGTGTGTTCTCCATTCTTGGAGATATTAAAAAAATCTGCCTAGGAGTGATCCTGGACAATCTGCTGGATCAGGAGGAGGACTGGATGACCTCCAGAGGTTCCTTTCAACCGCAGCTGTCCTGTGATTCTGTGAAAACCCAACTCCTGTTGAAGCTGGGCTGGGGCCTGTTCTCCTCCAGCACGTGCCAGCGGTGGGGGACGTGCAAAGGTGCCCTGGTTGGAGTGGTCCAGCCCTGTGCCGGCTGCCAGGGTGCAGCTCTGCCAAATAATGCACAGCCGAGGCACAGCTTTGACCCTTCCTTTTTCCTCTTCTTCTACCCCTACTGGGTGAGGCCACCAGGGGGTAGGAGGAAAGTGTTATTTTTATTAAACAGAACCAAATCCACTCACTCTCACAGCCACGGTGGGGACATGTGTCTGAGCACTCTGGCCAGGAGCACTCACGAGATGCAGATGAAGGGAAGGAACACCAGCCCTCAGAGCTGCTGCTGGAGCCGCTGACAAACCCTCCTTTGGATTGTTTGCTGAGCCCTCGAGGAAGCTGATGGCCACCACAGCAGGAAGTTTCCATATCAGGATTTGGCATCCTGCTGCCTCCGGAGATGGCAGACCAGCTGGAGTGCCTGTGGCCCCTTGGTTGGGGGAGCTCATGGCTCTTACTTGCTCTTCTCCGGGGCTAATGGGGAGGGATGCTGTTGCCTTCCTGTCCCGTTATTGTGGCAGTGACTCTCCGGCTGTCGGGGTTTATCAGCACCCAGGCCTGACTGAATTTTTGTGGTCAAAGCCCGCTCCTGCTAATAACGTCCTCAGCTGCTGGCTGCTTCTGGGTACATCTGACTACGGGAAGCAGGAGACCACTGCGGTGTGGCAGAGCTGTAACATGCAGACCCAGGACTTGGTGGTCTCTTCCCTTGTTGGAAACAGTCAGTGCAACTTAAGAAGGAACTTCAGATGGAAGCTGGTGCATGGACCTCCAGCCAAAGCACAGGGAGCCTTTTTGGGGACCCCACAATGATGGTGAGGCCACCTCGATGTTTTAATTGCTTGGCACGCTGTCATGCCTTCCTCACAAGGTTTGACCAGGGCTTTTTAATGGCCGCGTGAGACATCACCTACCTTCTGATCCTCCCACCTTTTCAGTGGGAAAAGTTGATTCACTGCTCTGAGGTGGAGTAGAAGCTCTTTAGAAACAAATAAACAAACAAAAATATTCCATATTCTATCCATGACACGTGTTTTCACTTCTCAGAGGAACAGAGGGAGGCTGAGGAACCTCTTTCTCCTCCTCTCTCCTTTTGATATTCACACACATCATATCCTAATTTTTACCCGTTTCTGTCCTGTGTTTTCCTTGTTACACAAACTCTGAACTCGCACATATCCCTTGGGGACAAAGCTGAATGCCTTCAAGCTGCAGATGATAAGCAAACACTAAGTTACGTATAATCAATCCCTTGATGAGCTATTTACCATGTGACATTACCAAAATATTTCTGCTTGGGAACTATGTTTATCTTTATATGTTTTCCAAACTTCTCGCAGCCCTGAAAATCCATGTCCCAGGACTCCAGACATCAGCTTTCTCCCTATAATCCTGTATTTTATACTGTAAAAACTGATTTACATACAGAAGAAGCTGATTTACTGACAGAAGGCACACATTTCTTTTCCTTCCAGTGCTTCCCATGGCTTAATACATTAAAATGTGCACTTGAGAAAGCAGTGGACTAAATGAAGAGTGGAGTTATACCTGGAACTCATTATAGCCACTGAGAAATTCAGCAGCACTGAAAATAGAAATCCAATCTCAGCATCTCAGAGGCAAAGGAATTAAGATCTTGATTCTTCCATCAAGAAAGACTCTTAGGTTGACCTTCACTTCAGCCACACAATTTCCGAGTAGGTCCTCAGATCATCAGAAATTCTCCATCCAGGCAGAAAGGAAGAGCGATGCCCTTGGGGAACCTTGAGGAACGGTTCCCTCCCTGTACCAGGTGCCCCTAGTCCAGCTCCTCGGAGGCACATGAGGTGGGGTCAGCTGTCCAAATACCCTTGAGATTCTGGAGCCTTATCCTTCAGTGCCAAATTATCATGATGATCTTGGGTTTATTTTGAGCTGCACAACCCAGGTCTAGGAATGCTTATTTGGACAAGGAAATATTGCCTGGGTAGCTCTAACACCAAGAGACAGTATTTTGTTGTGGACCTGCAAATTCAGGGGAAAACACCATAAAAGTATGATTTCCTGCTTAGGAATTGGAATGAATTAAAAAAACAAACCTGAGTCTGAAGTCAACCTTAATGTAAAAAAAAATAGCCCTGGGCATATATTGAAGACGGTTATTTGAACACGTCATATCTAGAATGATTTTTTAAGGACTATTACATCAGGGAGCAAAAAGCCACCGTGTAATTTGAATTGTCAGATAAAGACCTTCATGTATCACAGGTCAAACACCAGAAAAGTGGTGAAAGGAGAGAAGACACGAGAGTACGAGGACTTGGTAGCAACAGCTGCAAAGGCAGTTGGAGGAAGAGAGAAGCTGTAAGTGATGAAGGCACATCAGTAATAGCTGAGTTGTGATGCACCCGTCTCTCGGCAAAGCTCCCCGAGCGAAGTGGGGTGCCCTCACCTCCCAAAGGGCGTGGCCAGGTCCCAGCCAGGTTCTGGGGGGTCAGGAGGCTCTTCATGGTCGCAGGAGCTCAACAACCATCATGTCGAGGTGCAGCACCCAGGATGGGTTGTGCAGGGCTGGCCCAAGAGAAGAGCAGGTAAGAGCCAAGAAGTCCCCCGACCACGGGACCACCGGCACTCGGGCTGGTCAACCGTGTCTGGAGGCATCTCAGTCTCTGGGGTTCAGAGGAGGAGTGAGCAGGATGCTCCCCCTCCTTGTCCTCCTGGTGTCGCTGGTGCAAGGACTACCCTGTCCAACCTGCACCAAAGACCTCCAGCAGCCCAAAAACCAGACCTGGGCTCCCTCTTTGCAGCTCAGTCCCGTGCCCACGGGGATTAATGCGACCCCAAATCCCTCGTGAAACACCTCCTGGTGCAAAGGGGACCACAAGCCCTGTCCTCCCCACAGCATAGCCCCCATTTTACACCCTGCTTTCACGGCCTTCATCCCATCATCGCAGCCCTCCCCACGGCCAGGAGATGGTACTGTTGGCCTCGCGTCCCTCGTGTCAGCCCCACCCTGCCCAGCCCTGCCTGCTGCTCCGATCCCGCTTGCCCTTGACATGGGGCATCCCACCCCAGGTCAGGAGGGTCCTGGTGGGACCTTTGAGATCAAAGCCTGGCCCTGCCTGGCCCAGCAGGCAGCCCGGGGCCTGTTCGAGCACCCATCTCCCCTGGGGCTTAGTCCACGCTGGGTCTCCTGTGTGGGGTCTCCACTCCTACCCTACATTCCCAGCTGGGACCCCAACACTGGTGCTTCCCATCAAGAAAGGTCCTCGCGCCCCTTTTCCAGTTGTGGTCAGGAAGGTGTTGCCAGCACGAACGTGGGTGCTCTGACAGCACTCAGGTTTCACCCCAGCATGCAGGCAGGATGCTCATGGGCGAATCCAGACCTTGGGGTCCCCACAACCCCTCTGCCCCATAGCAGAGCCTGTCCCCGGCATGGGACAGCTCTGGGTGAAAGCCCTGATCTTGGTGGCATCTGCCCTCCTGGGCACACCTCTGGGACTGGGTCAGGGTGCCTGTCCCCGTCCCCGCAAAGGGTCGCAAGGCCTTCCCTTAAAAACCAGGATCAGGGAATTAAATGCAAAATATTTAATGAGATGCTGAAATATTTAATGAAACAAAGAGGTTTCAACTGCAAAATTGAGCTTCGGAAAATCAGAACGAACCCAAATGTGGGTGACCCCAATTTCGGTGCTGCTGAGCCACCCGCGGCTCCTCCCCGACCTCCCAAACCCCCAGAGAGGTTGGGGAGGACGCAGCATCGCGCCAAGGGCAGCTCGGGAATCGGTGGCAGCTGCCTGCTCGCGTCCCCCGGCTGGGATTTGGGGTTTGCGGGGGGGCGGGAGAGGTTGGCAGAACAGG